TTGCACAGATAAATCACTCTCAAAAAGAATAATAGATTTAGAAGATTCACACATCTAATTTCAAAGATCAATACAAACTTATGGTATTCATGACAAGATAAATCATGGAACAGATTTGAGAGTTCAAAAATGAGCTCTTTTTATGTCCCAAAACAACACAATGGAGGAAAGACAGTTGTTTTAACTATGTTTCCAGAGCAACTGATCCTTATGCAGAGGAGTAATTTGTAGACATTCTTTATTTTATAATATATATATATTTTTTCCATTTACTTTATGATACAGTTCCAAAGACTCAGTAATCTCCCCTCCATCTCCTTCCCAATTTCCTTCTCAGGCTCATTTCCTTCAAAAACAGTCATGAATCCAACATCCTGCTATTTAAGTAGATCCTGACATTATAGATACAGATAATGGCAGAAAGTCTAGCATCCTATTGTCAAGATATATTTAAGAGTTTCATCGGGGGTGCATTGGTGATTCAGGTGTAGAGATGTGTACTCAGCCCCAGCCATTGTGGCCGTTTGGAGAGTGAGCCAGTGAATGGAAGATCTTTATCTCTGTTCCTTGTCCACTCTGTAAATCTGATCTACCTTTCCAATCAAATACATCTAAAGAAAGCTTGCCAAATGCCCTTCAAATATGTCTACTTCTATTTTCTTTGTCAACACCCTGGCAATAGTGTCTTGGTCGTATGCCCCCTTAAGGTTCTCCATTTTTTGCTTCTCCATATGTCAGCCTTCTAAGCAGCATCCAAAGTAATCATTTTGGAAACATGAACCACCAAATGTTACTTCACTGGAGAAAACCTCTCAACTTTAGAGTTGGAATGTGACTGAGCTCTTTGTAGGGATCTTCAATAGTTTTCACCATCTAACCCCTTAGCTTCATTTTGACCTTATCCCGTTCATTTTTGGGGTAGAGGAGGTACATGGGGGCCCTCCATGTGGTTTCTTTTTTGTGCAAAGTTCTGCAACAATAGACTGTTTCTTGACTTTGATCTTTCGCATCACCAGTGCCCTGTCCTTGTCATGTTTCACTCACATAGATCTTTCCCCAGCAATCTAACGTGTTTCTGAGATATATGACCTCCATAGAGGCAGCTTCAGCTTCTCTCCAAGACTGTCCATCATTCTACCTAGCCTCTTCTATTATTGGCTAATTTATTGCTTATCTCGCTCTAGTAGAACATCAATTGATTAACATAAAAACTCTGTCTGATAGAACATGATGCCATCAGTACCTCTAGTAGAGGCACAAAGCAGACAAATTGCATGACATGTTGGAAATCCATGGTGGGACTCTAGTTTTTGTCTTCTACTAGGAATAGTGATTTGAGATTTTTGATGGAAACGGTATGAAAGTACAGAAACAATGATTTTATGTACTCAATATGTACAATATGTAGAATAAGAGGGTAAAAATTTTAAAAACTACTATTGGTCTAATTTTTGAGATTGGTATGATTTATATGTTATTTCTAAACAGACACAAAGCATAAAACTAAAAGCTTCCAAGATTTTAAAATATTACAAAGCCATTTTAAAAAAAAATTATTTTTATTGTAAAGGCAGATATACAGAGAGAAGGAGAGCCTGAGAGGAAGATCTTCCATCCAATGATTCACTCCTCAAGTGGTCACAACGGCTGGAGCTGAGCCAATCTGATGCCAGGAATCAGGAGCCTCTTCTGGGTCTCCCATGCAGATGCAGGGTCCCAAGGCTTTGGGACTTCCTTGACTGCTTTCCCAGGCCACAAGCAGGTAGCTAGTTGGGAAGCAGGGCAGCCGGGACTAGAACCAGTGCCTGTATGGGATCCTGGCCCTTGCAAGACACGGACTTTATTTGCTAGGCTACACTATCGCTCCAGGCTCTAAAGCCCTCTTTTTAAAAATCCTGCTCTAACACTGTTCCAACTTCCTATTTAAATTTCTCAAAGTATCAAAATCTTTTATATTTCCTTTTTGTCCTACTTATTGCCCCCTTTTCTCTTTGAGGCTACAGCTAATTTTATTGGCCTACTATTCCTAGTTTGCAAAAGCTTTGGCAATGCTTGAATACATGAGGATCTCCTTACATTTATTCACTAATATCAAAGTCACAGTTCATTTTTGGATGCATCTTAGCATTATTTTAAAACTCTTCAGAGTTCTTTAGCATGCACATCAGTTTTCAGATCAAGAACCTCTACTACACCGAGAGACTCTTAGATCTCTTCCTCTAATGGCTGTTTGTATGTATACTATGGCCATAGTATCAGGGTACAACTATAGATTCACATGTCACTTGTTACATTGTTCAAATATTTGGAGCTGGTCAAAATGCCAAGTGCTATTAACATCATAGGCCTAAGAATCTCAGAATGTATTTGGCAGGTGTATCCTTACAAATGTAGGGTCTCAGGCCATTGTTATGGTATAATGGGTGAAGCTATCACCTGATACGCCAGCCTCCTCTATGGTACCTGTTTGTTTCTTGCCCGCTGTACCTCTGGACCAAGCTCCTTGCTAATGGGACTAGGAAAGCAGCAGAAGATGGCTTAAGGCTTGGGCCCCTCCAATCCCATGGCAGAAATTTAAGAAGTTCCTAGCTCCTGGCTTAAGGCCTGCCAATGCCACCATCTGGGATGTGATTCAGTGGGTGGAAGATCTCTCACCCTCCCTCCTTCCTTTTCTGTAATTCTGGCTTTCAAATTAATAGAGAAATATTTTTTTAAATAGACTAAAAAAATGTAGATTCTCTCTGATCGTCTAATTCCCCTTTCAGTTTTTATTTGAAACTTAAGATTAATCATAAGGTTATGAATCATAGCATGCTTGTGTGAATAAACAGCTACAAAAATGAATTGCCCAACAACAAATCCCATGATCATTCTATGACACAGCTAGATCAAATACAATACTCTCTGTGGAGAAAAATAAGATTTGGGGCAAGTGTTTGGCCTGGTGGTTGAGATGCATGCAGGGGCAGATGCTCACATCCTGTATCTGACTTCCTATGCTGAATCCTTGGCTCTGACCTGGGATACAGCAGCAATGGACCACATGGGTCATCTATGCTGGAGATTGGGACTGAATTCTTACCTCTGACTTTTTCCTCTTGGCTCATTGTGGACATTTAGGAGACTGTTTAGAAGACGGGAGCTCTTTCTTTAACCTGAGTCTTATCACTCTCTCTCTCTCGCTCGTTCTCTTGCTCTGGATATCTGTGTCTGTGTCTCCCAAATGTCTTAAAATACAAATATTTAATAAATGGAGAACATATTAACTGTAGGTAGTAATAGTCTGATTCCGAAGCTGTATTTTTGGTAGGATCTGATTGTGACACTGTCATTTTATTCATAATCTTTGTAGCCCTCAGTTACAGCCATGTGATGTGGGTAGAATTTAGCTCATTCTCAGCTCTAGGAACCAACTTAATGAAGTTGAGCTGTTCTTCCCGCTATAACAAGGCCTTAGCCTGTCAGCTTATGCATAGTCCTCTTTCTGTTGTGGTTTGTTCTCATCTGGCCAAATCAGCATGTCCCTTAGGACTCTTGTTCATAGTTGTGACAAGCCATGTGCTCTCTCCCCATATTGAAGGAACAAGTCCACAATCTGGTTACCATTAACAACCATCACAGGACAACCACCATGAGGCTGAACTATGATTGATAACTACAAGCTAACCCATTGCCCAGATCAGTGTCTGAGGCCTGGAAACCGACATTTCTGTTGGTCAATCAAGATGCCTCATGTATTCATTATTATTATAATAAGAGCTATGTGTTCTGTGCTTGAAATCCAAAGAATCCCAACAATTAAGAACACTGAATATATTAAAAGATGTGATTGACAATGTGCATAAGGCTGCACAACAAAGTATCAAAAAATAGATGTCTCTTAGAGGTACCCAGTGCTTTGTACTGTTATGTAATTCAGATTTTCTATAATTAATATATGTGTTATTTGAAAAAAAAACAAACATAATTAGAACTAGAGTTTAATAATCATCATCATCTAAGAAAAAAAATCAGCTTTTTAATTCTGGATGGTGATCAACCAAATGAAATAAATCTTCAAGTGGAAACTAATTTGCTGCTTTTTTTAATGCTTCAGAGCCAGAAGAGCAAAGTTCTTAATTTTAAGAGTATCATCTTAGTCAAATTAAAAATGTGCTAAAATCAGATTAGTTCAAGCTGTACGAACATTGACATCTGTTCTAGTGAAGCTTGTTTTTAGTGTTGCTGCAAAGGGAGCAGGTGTGGGGTAGTAGAAACATACACGTTCTTGTTTTTCCTGGCTCTTTGGTCTCCTGCAATTGCTTGTTCTCTCTAAACCTTAGTTACCCAAACCCAGAAATGATGAGGTTGACCTAACCATTATCTACAGTCTTTGCTCTGGGAGATTCTGTGATTCTACGATTGACTAAGCCACGCTGTATGTGGGAGCAGAACTGATAGTTACTGCCTGATTTGAGAAATGTAATTAGATTTCCAATCTCATTATAACATTAAGCAATGAGTGGACATTGTCTACAAAAATAAATGGTAAGAAGTTTGTAAGAGTTCTTATAAATTTAGCAGGAAAAAGTGCCATGATTCATTAAATGAGGTTGATGTGTGTTTTATCTTCTATCCGATTCAAATACTTACTATCTTACAACATCCTCTTATTATTGTTATTTTGTAGCACAGCATTTAAATTCTTTTCCCAGTGACTGACTGGGAAGGCGTTATATTAAAGTGTACCTACAACTTTTGTTTGTTTAATATCAATCAGCAGCTTGTATTGATTGAATAAAAACTTGGCTGAAAGAAAAAAGTAAAACTTAAAAGCAGCTGTGAATTGAAAAGGCACTTAATTACCTGTTCTTTACATATGGTATTTCTCAGAGAAGGCACAATGAATGACAGCTTCTTAGTGAATGTCCTGACAGTGGCCCCCAGCAAGGGTCGGGGTGTCAGTGAGGTGTCTGTCTGCAACGGTGTTCATTTGTTGCTTCTGTTGAACTCGTCCATAGGGTGGAACAGCAGCAGAAATCCGTGAATAAAGATCAATGTCCTGCAGAAAGGGCAGAGGAGCTGGCGGCAGGAGGCATCTATCACTGCCACAGCAACTCCAAGGCCACAGAGAACAGGGCCAACGAGCAAGCCCACGCCAGATGGACACTCTGTGCTGCTTCGGCAATATGCTTTGTGTTCATGATTGCAGAGGTCGTGGGTGAGTACTTCCCAAGACTTTTCTGGTTAAACAAGCCAAGAAATGAAACGCTCTCACAAGGATGTGAGGTTATCTGTTTCCTTTTAAAGTAAAATATAATGTTTGCTGTAAGTATAAGGTAGAAAACAGAAGAAAAGAATAAAATTCATTACTATTCCACATTCAACTGATAATCTGCAATAACTTTATGGAGCATTTTGTATCATATATTCTGTGCATATAGCTTATAGCTTTTTTTAAAACAGAATTGAATGCATTTGATGATACCATCATATACTATTCAAAAAATTGAACAATGTTTTATAATATGCTTCATTGCAATTTACTGTTAAAAATCTAGGAAGATTTCCCTGTTCTCAGATAAAACATTGCTTGCCCTTCAGGTTAATCCCTTCACCTCTACTTCTAAAAGCAGAAACAATTGGCTGAAGTGACATAAATTTTTGTTTTTTCATAATTGATAACACCAAACTGCTAACAGAAAATTTAAAATAATTCATACACCTTCCAGCTATAAATGAGGATGATTTTGTCTTTAAATCTTCAACAAGATTTATTGGGGGTAGTGGTTAAGGATAGCGTTGGGACATCTAATATCCCACAGTGGAGTGCCCGATTGCAGTCCTGGATCCACTTCCTATCCAGCTTCCAGCTAATGTGCACCTTGTGCAGGCAGTAGGTGATGGCTCAAGGATTTGGGTTTTAGCTACCCACCTGAGAGAACTTCGTGGAGTCTTGGCTGGTTTCTAGCTTTATCCTGACTTAGCTTTTGCTATTGAACGAATTTGACATCTAAATAAATTTAAAATATCTTTATTATAGAGATGAATGCTCATTTTAATATCCATTGCTTTGTTTCCTTTAGGATGTTTTTTCTCGTTTGTCAGTAATCTGCATTCATATCTGTAATGCATTTTCTTTGTCTCCTACCTGATTGTTCTTTTTAAAAATTTCATGTTTTTTTTTGTTTTGTTTTCCTAAAGAGAATTTGCTGATTCTCTATGTTGATTTCTAGAAGCTGTTTATGTAGTTGGCATGTTCAATCTTTGGTATGTTAAATATGACATATTTCTAGTTTGCTTTTTACCTATTTTGTTTGTTATGGTTTTACCTGTATGTAAATTTTCATTAAGATTATATATTTTTTTCTATTTTGTAATTAAAAATCCTTCCCAATATACTCAGAATTTAAGTAGTTTTTCTATTCTTTTTATTCTTATTAAAATTTTTCATTTAGTTTTTATGTTGTTTTGAAAATTGGTATATTGTATACTCTAAGGATTCACAATTCCATTGTGAAATAGCTAATTAAGTTTTAACATCATTTATGGATTTATTACTTATTTCCCATTGGTTTTTGATGTTTAATTGCTTTTCAAAATTTTACCGATAGTAGGTTCTTACTCTGACGTTTTCTATTCAGTAATAGCAGTATGCTTAATGTAGGCTTTTATAATTGTTCCTTCCTCCTCATGATTTGTAACTGCCAGAAAAAGATTAAGAATACTAATATGTGTTTGCTGTTCTAATTAAACATGAAAATCACTTTGTCAATTCTCCCTCAAATTATGATAAGTTTAACTTAGGGACACAAATCTTCATTAATAATTTTTTTTTACAATTTTTTTATTGACAATCTTTACATAGTTAATTAGGGTAAAAAGGTTCAAGGGCTACAGGAAAGTGGGTAAGATTATTATTTTTTCCATATTGTTTCCTTCATGTTTAAAGGGGGATAGTAAGGAAGAAAGCCCATCCAATTTCCCACCCTCCCCAGGTCCCAGATGTAGGGTATGCTCTGAGGTTCTTGCTCAGGTGGTTTTGATATTTCAACAGGTATGAATCGCTGCCAATCTTGACACTCCAAGCACTATGAGGTCTTCGAAGAATCCACTGGTTGACATAGTCCATCATAGAGTCTCTGTTTGCCCCATATTTCGCTGCCAAGATATAGCTGAGATGGTTGGTTGACCTGTTCTGTCTTCTCTCTTTTCTTGGTTAGGGTTCTGAGTCCAGCATTTTGCTTGGGGAGATCTCCAAGGAAACTTTGTCTCAAGTGTTCTCAAGCCAGATTCTTGTATGTGTCAGCAAGTACAGGGCCCGGCACAGTCCGTTGCCCCAATTAACTGGTGCTTGTGATCGCTGGGTTGGTTCTGTTTTCACTCCCGACTTTCATTAATAATTGAATGAATGTTTTTCTTCTAACTTGCTATTTCTCTAGTTTTCTGAATCAGAATTCTGCATGCTAAAGTGGAAAGTATAATTTTAATCATTTCCTCTCTATGAATAAAGAAAGTTTATTAAACTTTGAAATCATTTCTTCCTTTTTAAGGAATGCCTTGTTTATCAGTCTGGCTTTGGAAACATTTGAAGAAAAAGTCAACATATATTTTAGCATCTTTGTTATTTGTTAATATATTCAATATGTCTAGCACTTGATTATATTTTGGCCATTTTCCTGATGCCACTCATTGGAATGTTCAAATATATTATTCTGCTTAGGAATAATATATTTGATAGTTTCATGTGGAAACTTAATCTCTTTGAAGGAACTACATTTGGTATGTAATAGTTTAATATTTTTCCAAAATATAACAACACTGTAAAATAATGCTAAGGACCATGATACCTATCACTGACATCAGGGCTTTTTGTGGTTTGCTTTCTTCCCTGTATTCCAAAGGAAGTATATGAAAAATAGACTATGCTAAGCATTTTTTCTGCCTTATAATATCTAGCAACTAGAATTAATATTTTTGTGTAGCTTTAGAGTCTGTGGCTTGTGCATTTTTTATTTAGAATTATTTTTTAGTTTCTGAAATGTAAAAAAGAAGCTAGAATATATTCAGAACAATTCCAAGGTTAGTATTTAGCCATCTAGTCAAAATGTACGTAGCTAACTCCTAGCACATAAGTTTTAGAGCCAAGGCAAGTCCTTTGAAGGAACTGACTCAATTGCTTGTTGCAGTTGCAAAACTGTAAGCAGCTCCAATATGGAAAAATCCTATGGGGAATCCATTGACCTCTGTATCAAGGGAATATTCATTTTTATTATTGACATTCATGAGATTGTGGACAATATAAATTGTTCATGTCAAGAGTTTGGAAAAATGGAAAACACAAAGAATTCATCCTAAATATGATTTGGAAAGGGGATTTTCTTGGTCCTCCTAATGCTGTACTGGCACCATCTCCTGCAAACACATCTCAGGAAGATGTATAAATGGATTTGCTTGTTCCCTACTTTCTTCCTCTGCTTTTTCTTCAAACCACGTGGCTGGATTTTGTCCTTTCCCACGCCAGTATCTAATCAGTTTGAAATGAGGTACTCTCCCACTCACAAAACCGACTCTTCTCCTGATGCTCTTTCTTGTTTCATGTAATTGGTTTTTTTTTTTAAATTTTAGATTCACAACTAAAAAATGAATTTATCATTACCACAAGATGCTTAGATTATGTGCACTTTTTGATATAGCTAAATTGAGCTGCTTGTTATTTTACCTTGAGTTTGTGCTCGGTAACTTCACTGAATTTGTTTGCTTTAGAATTGCTTTCTTGGGTGGACGCTGAAGGGTTCTCTCTGTAGAATATCACATTACTCGCACACGGGGACAGTTTGACTTCTCCCTCTCGAATATGAATGAGTTTTACTTGCTTCTGTTGCCGAATTGCTCTGGCTTAGACTTCGGCACTGTTAGAAATGATGAGAGGGAACATCCTTGTTTTGTTCCTGGGCTCAGAATGAAAGCTTTCAACATTTTAGGCACTGACTGCTCTGAAGCTGTGGATTTGTCATGCATGTCCTTGTGCTGCACAAAGGCACAATGTTTGTATTGTACAAGTTGCTGAGGGTTTGTCACTTTAAAAATGGCAGTCTTTTTAGGGAGGTCGAGTGGGCAGCTGCTCATCTGAAGTCAATTAGTGACCCTCCATTCCTTTTTATTCCTCTGAATTAGAGTACAAATCTGACTGTAGAATCAGTGAAGGAATGAAACAGATACTGAGTGATAATCCTTTATTTGTAGATAAGCCGTGTTGATATTAGGCTGTTTCCAAACATTGCTCTTTTCAGTTACAGTCTTCAGAATTGTTTGATGCTTCCTTCTTGCCTTGTTCAGTAACCTACCAACTTTTCCTTCATCATGGCAGATACAGGAAATTCACAACGTGCTGGGCTGAATTGACAGTTGTGCTACAACTGGAAGGGACAAATTCAGACTAGCTGTGAATGTCTATGCTAGTCCTCATTGGCTTGCCACAAGTGAAATTAGATCAACACATCGGGAATTTTTGGTATCCTAACAAAATAAAAATTTTGGCATTTAAGACATTCCACAGTGTGACTGCCAGACTAACAATTGATATTTTTGTTTTACTACCACCCCAACCTGATTTCTGTCTTGTAGGCACATTTATTGACTTCATTTTCTCCAAGGTAATTTTGTATGTTACAGTACCTGTAGCATTTTCTTGTGCCTTTTTGTTTGAACACAAAAGCTCTCATCTTTCTTTTTCACGCTCTTCAAAATCATGGCCCTCGATTTAAGTCCCCCCACCGCCCCCGTTTTCAGCACACCTCTTCCCCAGGGCTATTCTTAATTATATCAGAGAAAGAAGTTATTTTTCTCAGATCACCTTAGGGAATCTGGGAGATCCTTCTGCAGGAAATGGGATATAAGTGAGGCTTTGAAGAATGGGGTGGAATCTGGAGGTATCCAAAAGAGAGATAATGAACCTCTCTCAAGTGGAAGGGCCTGGCCTGAGCAGTAGGAGATTGTGAATATGAGCTCACCTTGAAGGTTTGTTTGTGGGTAGGTTTGAAACAGGAGAAAATATTTGTACTCTAAGAAAGCGAAGCAAACTTGGATGACACTGTTTTTTAGTTGACTGTCATTTCTTGTTCAGCACACTATATCATACTGTTTGCACTGATTGGAATTTTGGCCTTCTTGGCTTGAATGCCTCAAGCTCAAAGGCAGATATGGAGTTGAGAATCAGGT